ATATAGTGATTCAACAATTCTATATATTATTCACTGTTCATCATGATAAGTGTCCTCTTTCTGGATTTGACTTGTGTATAGGGATCCAGTTTGAATTTACTGAAGAATTTTCCCACTGATTTACAATGCCACCTTTCCATACAGGGATTCATCTACTCCTGGTGTGTTTCTGTCTTTGTGCTGGTATCATACTGCATTAATTCTTCACAATGTTGTGGGAAACTCAAATCCAACTGTCTGATCTTTAAGTTGCTAAAACTACAAATCTATCAGCATGACAGAAAATTAAAAACCAAGAACACTATTGCCATCTGCTGGATAGATCTACTATTACCACATCTAAACGAGACCGCCGTGACTCACCTCCTCACTCCCCCATTTAGTGGACAAGTCTGAAAAATCTTCCTTTATCAGTTCTTTCTAATCTGTCCCTTCACTTCCATTCTCCTGGTACCTACACCTTAGTCTACTTCCTACTTTGCTAGGATTGTTGCTTTTGAACCAGCCCCTCTCTTTAGTCACTATTCTTTCAATACTTTCCTTGTTCCTATTGTCACACCTTATAATTTCACATTAAGTTGATGGGTCACTTATCAAGTTCTTGCTTACAAGAAAACATTTTGGAACCAGTAACAGCAGTCTGACTAGGGACAGACAGAGAGAACAAAGTAGAGGCTCGATAAATATTAGCTGAATTGAAAAAAGTTATTTGGTACCATTTGCTCATTTGCCAAATTTATCTGGGAGGTGGCATAGGCACGTTTCCAACCTTTCTTTTTCCTTCCATAATACCAGACTGATGAAAAATTCGCATGTGTAATTTTTCTGTGGGCTTACCTAAAAAAATTAGTTTTAATTGCAAAATACATGACCCATATAAAAAAAAATTCAGAGTTCTGCAAATGAGTGACTCTATGGATGATGTTGGGAGCCAGGGTTCTCACTGAGGAAGAAGATACAAGTATGGAATGGGGGAAGACAAGGAAGAACCCAGTGGGGCTGAACTGGAGTTGGAGGTATTAGTAAAACTTGTGGTTTCTATTATCTGTGTTTCTTAGCTCTTTCTGTTGAAGGGGCCTAGACTCAATGGCAACCCAGCAGAGCCCAGACCTTAGCACCCAAACACCATTCTCCATTAAGAGAAACTAGGGATTGTTGGAGAACTGGCTGCTCCCAGGGCTGGGTAGGAAAAAATATAGGATAAACTTGAAACATCGTGTGCTAGAAAGTAAGGAATTCTTCAAGAAAGGATGAGAACATGTCTAAAAGACCCAGGAGCCACCTTGAAAGGTCTCCCACTGGTCAAATGTGGGATAACTTGACATCAAAACAAGTGGAGTAACAGACCTGAATAAAATAGCAATCCATGAATTCATGCTAAGTTGGAAAATGAAAGCTTTTCCTTACAGCAGTATGCCAACTAATAAATGTAAAAGGAATGGTAGAATTGGAAAGCCATTTGGCAACTCTCAGAGGTAACAATTCATCCAAGAAACATCACTGGATGCTAAAATTAGTATGTGAAAGTTTGCTGAGAAACAGAATATGTAGTCTCAAAGTATCTCCTTACAAAATGCTTAACTTAATGGAAAAAAACATATTAACTTTACAGTGAAGAAATCTAGCAGACACCCCCTAAAACCAGCGATCCAAATCAACTCCCGGTAACGGAACAACCGACACCATGGTAAGATGCGCCGAAAAAGACATAGCATCACTTCTATGAGATTCCTGCCAACAATGCGTGAACTCAATCTAATTGTGAAGGAATATCAGAAATAACTCAGATTAAGGGAGAATTTATAAAATAATTGACCTATGTGTTTCATGACCTTGACACTTGTGAAACACAGATTGAAGAATTGTTCTAGATTAGAGGGAGACTACAGACATGGCAACTAAATGTACTGTGTTATCCTGATTTGGACCCTGGACTTGTTTTTTGTTCTAACAAAGGCCATTACTGGGACAACTAGCAAAATACGGAAAAGATTAGGTAATAGTATTGTATTAATGTTAATTTTCTGTTTTTGATAATTGTGCTATGGTTATGTAAGAAAATATCCTGGTTCTTAGGAAATACACAAGTATTTGTGGTAAAAGGGCATCATATCTGTAACTAACACTCCAATGGTCAGAAAAAAAGCATTTATTCTATACAGATATCTGTGCTGATAAAGGGAAATCTCTCCCTTATTGTCAGATGACAATTAGTTAATACAGAAAGAATGATGTAGTTAGAAAATCACAGTTTTGTAAACATCACAGTAAAAAATGTTTTCAGATAAGAATCATCAAAGGATGCTAAATCTATAAGGGGCAGGTTTATAAGGAATAGAGTATCAACACGGTCTCAAAAGTTTCTCCTCACAAATTATCTACTAATTGCAAAAGGAAAATTAGTAACTATACAGTGGAGAAGTTGGATGACATCTTACTCAGTTGATCAAAATGGACATCAATATGGGGCAAAGGGATATTGCTGAGTCTGGATGTGATGCTGGGAGGCCAACATCACTCATAGCATTCTAGCTTGTACTGCATAACCCAAATCTAACCACAAGGAAACATCACAAATACCCAAACTGAAGGAAAATCTATATTTTACCTGTCCTGTATTCTTCAATAGATCAATACTACAAAAGACAAAGGCCGAAGAACCGTTCTAGATGACAGAATCATGAGAATCTAACATATGATCCTGGACTAGATTCTGTAGCTGAAAAAAAAATTACCAGTGGAACAACTGAAATTGGAATAGGGGCTGTAGATGAGAATTCTATCACTGTTAAATGCCTGAATTTGAGAACTGTACCTAGTGTGCTTGTTTTTATGAAGAACATCTGTAACATTAAAGGTGAAAAGGTAGGTCTGCAATGTACTCTCAGACGGGTCAAGAAAAAATATATGACAAGAGATAGAAGATGGTAAACCAAACAGAGAAACATTAAAAAAGAAGTCAAAATGCAGAACAATGTAGGCTTCTTCTACTTAAAATTCTCAGAACATATACATACATGTGCATTAAATACATATATTTCTAGGACACTATAATTAGTAGTCTCTTGCTCCCCCATGTAAGGGAAATAGGAGCTAAAATATATTAGGTGGTTGGCATGAGGGCAAAATGGTTAAGTCTCTCTTTTCTCAACCTTCAGTTCCATTCCACAGAGAAAAGTTTTTTCTTATATGTGCACACAAGCTTCTGCACATGTTGTAATTCTTACATCATTTTGATGGTTGCATAGTCTATGAATGAATGTACTTAAAGGTGTTCTATCGGTATTTGTTTCTAATATGTATATTTTAAATACGATCACATTTTAAAAAATGTTTTCATTTTTATATTTACTTTGATAAAGGCTATTTGGCCTTAATTCTGTTATAGTTTTTTGTTTTTGTTTTTTTAGAGGTGGGGAGAGAGAGAGAGAGAGATGGGGGGAGGGGCAGAGGGAGAGGGAGAATCTTAAGCAGGCTCCACCCCCAGCACAGAGCAGTCTCAGGGCTCTATCTCATAAGCCTGAGATCATGACCTGAGCCAAAACCAAGGGTTGGACGCTTAACCGACTGAGCCACCCAGGCATACCTTATAGTTTTTTATGCCTTCTTTTAAAAGACATTTTATGTTCTCATGTTTTATTTGGGGATTTTCCTTCTCATTTTACAACTTTTATTCAATTTATGCCATATTATTATTTCAATAATATAAAGATTTATAATGCTTAGAGTCTATCCTGAGTATAATACTAGTGAAAATCTTCATGGAGGAACTTGAGTCTGGCCAGTAGATCATTTCTGGAAGGAAGTTATGCAAGGGATGAATATGAAATGTGAGTTGTGGAAGTCTGAATCCCAGCTGATACCTGAGAAATGTACTTTCCTAAAGTCAACCAACCCAACTTTTAACAGATCTGGGCCACTCTCTAATTGGATCCTATTATGGGTTCCTTGTGTTGATTTTAATGAAAAATCCCTAATCGATTGAAGTGCGAGGAGATACTCTCTGCTTTCAGAGCTATTTTTGTTATATTTTGCATCATCCTTATGATCTTTCTGGATAAGAGTAACAATGTATCCTAGAGAAATACTATTTTAAAAACCTTACAGATAAGGTTTTTAAAACTTTAAATACTTTAAAACAGTTAAAACTTTAAATACTTTCCATAATAATTTTAAAACAAATAGAGATGTAGTATCTATACAATGTATATCATCATGTTATCTATCCTACATTTTTTTTTAAAGATTTTATTTATTTATTTGAGAGAGAGAGAGAGCGAGAGCACAAGTAGGCAGAGTGGCAGGCAGAGGGATAGGGAGAAGCAGGCTCTCCGCTGAGCGGGGGAAGCCCGACGCGGGGCTCGATCCCAGGACCCTGGGATCATGACCTGAGCCGAAGGCAGCCGCTTAACTGACTGAGCCACCCAGGCGCCCCTATCCTACATATTTTATAGTGATATGTATTTATACATACTGCGCTTGCAATAGGAAATACGTTTTTGGTTTCCCATAGTAGGCTGTAAGATTCAAAAGCAGAAGTCCTAAACCTCTAAAGGCAGCATAAGAAAAATCTTTATTTGAACCTCAAAGTTGTCTTTTAGCAGTCTGTGTCATATATAAAAGAAGAGTCAAAATGTTGGTTTTGTTCTATTTATTTTTGGTGGGTGGGGAGGGGCGGTAAAAAAAAAAAAAAAAAAAAGCTTGGTTTTTGCTTCAAGGAGCTTTCCTAAAGAGTAGTAACTCATTCATTACACATTGCCATGGATGACATGTTTTCTTGGCTTTCATGACAGTTTGAATTCAAGGTAATGTGCATAAAATGTATTTTTCTGAAATTCAGTGTATTCATTTGGACACACATGGGGTGACTCTTGTGTTCTCATTCCCATACAAAAGGTATTGGCACTTTGGCTTCAAGAACAAATAAAAAGTATCATAAATACAACTTGTGATTTGGGTCTGGGCTAATGACTAAGGAACTATTCAGCTATAATGGTCTTGGATATTTCAATGCCCTGTGAACCTACAGTTAATAAAGAGACTGCTGATTCTAAAAACTATGCCACCAACAAGGGAATGAAGGAAGAGTTATAAGTCTGATGCAAAGTTCAGAGCAAAATATCAATCAATAATCTCCTTCTCCCTTTTGCGGTATCAATAACATAGAAAGTGAGGATAAGAATTACATGAATAATGATAAATAAAAAGCATCTACAGAAATGGGAAAATATTTTTCATTAAAATTGCCACTTATTCTAGTTCAGTAAGATGCTTGTGAGGAAAAGAACTAAGGCAGGAAACTAGTTATGTTGTTTAGAACTTCTTAAGAGCAAAAAATGAATACCAATCAACTTTCTTGGTTTAATATTGTCTTAAAACGTGTCATTTTGGAACTTGAACACCTATGTTATGGCTTGAAAATTCAAAGCAAAAAGTAAAATCACGTAGAAAGCCAGAAATGTCATCAACACATCTACACAGATGTTTGCTTGTAGTTTTTGGTATCCAAAACCTTTTTTCCACACATTGCACAGATGCCTAAAACAAACAAACAAAACATGTAAGCAATCAAATCATAATACCAACTAATAATACCAATCAAATACCGAATACCAATAGTTTGCTTTATTTAAGTCACTCCTGAGGCTTAAAACATAAATTAACAGCATGAGAGAAGAGAAAAAGAAAGCATAGACCTGTAACTACAAACAAGTTCTAAGTTTTATCTTGCTTTAGAAAAAAGAGCACTTGATGAACAGCATCTATGAAAGGCTACTCCTTTCTTGTGTTATCTAAGTCAGTACCAAGAGTAGGCTAGATATGAATAGAAAAACGGTACTGAAAGAAACTTACCCTTTTTGTAGGCACAGCCCTGGCAGTAATGAGAACCTGGTTGGTGCACAGAACTTTTACAAATTCTGCAAGTGGAGAACTTATTCTTTCCATATGGATCGAATCTAGAGTTTTGTTTTTTTTTTAAAAAAGAAAAAAAATGTATAATAGAATAGAAACACTTAAATGACCTCCCTTTAGCAACAAATGGGATCAATCCATGCTCTTTGTTCTGTGTCACACTGTCCAATTGACAGGCACAGCATGCTTGCAGCTGGCTCCTCTCCCCGCGCTTGCACACCCCTGCCCCTTCTATGTGACTTGTATGCTGGTGAACAGTCAGTTCCTTAATCCCAAACCTGTTTCTACAAGTTGTATTTGCCAATCTGTGTGTGTGATATAGTTTAATATTATGGAAACTGATGAAATGTGGGTACAAAAAGAGCGACCAATTCTATTAAAAACTATGAGAATGCTTTAGGATGGCTGGGTCAGTGAGAATCACTGAACTGCCACTGAATTAGGTGAGACAGCTTCAAAATAGTGGCAAGATCGTAAGTGGAAGGACTTGCCACTTTGCAAGTCTATCAGTTTTGGCTCCACTTTAAAGATACTGGAAATGTGCATTCTGGTTATGATTTATGTGAGGAAAATGATGAAGAACTCTTATCAGTAGACTCGTACTCAAAAAGCCTGTCTCAGTGCCAAAGGACTGATGAATGCATGTGCTGTTATGTGCTGTGACTTTTAAGAAGGTATGTGTATGTTTTAATAATCACCTCCTTTAACTGACATTTTCCATTAATTGATCCAATCCCTTTGCATAAAAGAGTTTCTACTACATAAAAGTGCCACCTTATAGTGACTGGAGTAGAAAATAATTCTCCCTAAATTGGCCATAACTTTTGTAACAATACTCATATACCAAATGCCAACACTGTCCTAGACCTAGTTTCTTCTCTTGGGGTAGTGTAATACAATAGCTCATTTTCGAAGGTTAATTTCTCCAAACCCAAAAGAATGTCACTGTACTCTGCACAAGGGAAGATAGACACTATTCCTCTTTTTAATAAGCTCGATTTGTGTGCATCCATATACTTACTTTTGCTTCAAACCGTATTTTATTCTAAGATGCACATTTTAGTATGTCTGAAATCTCACAATGAATTAGCAGAGCTTTTTCTTTCTTAAAGCAATGATACATCTTCTAAGTGTTGGTATCTTAGATTCAATGCAATACAATAGTACACTTTCCAATGTGAGACATTTGGAGTATCCAAAGTAACAGCTACTTATTAATGATACTGGAGTGAGGTTGGGAGCATAAAGAAACTGGCAGTATCTAAAACTGTACAATTTGTAAAAATTACAACTTAGTTAATAATAACTGAACGGTCTTAGAAGACTTCAATAAGTCAGAGCAACACTTAGTGTGACGCTCCACTGAAGATTAAGTCTCTTATGCTGTTTTATATCCATTATTTAAAAAGTACCATTATGTACTTATGGTAGCCAGGCACTACAGGTAGTAAAAGCTTTATTATTATTATTATTATTTCTAATCCTTGGGATAATGCCATGAAACAGGTGTTTATTCATTCAGCAAATACTTGGTGAGTGCCTACTATGTGCCTGTCACTGTTTTACATACCAGAGATGAAACTTGACAGACAAAGCCTCTGTCCTCAAGCTGACATTCTAGTAAGACAATAGGTAAAGGGCAGACAGTAAGTAAAGGAATAAACATGTTTTTCAGAGGAGAAAAGTCAAACAGGATATTGTGGCAGACATGAGGGGAAGGAGGGAAGCTATTAATTCAAATGCTGGTTAGGGACCCACTCTGAGGAGGTGACATTTCAACTGAGATCCTAGTAACAAGAAGGCGCCAGCTATGTAAGCTCTGCGGGACGAGCTCTAGGAGGAAGGAGCCGCAAGCACAAACCTCTTCCAATGGGAGTGGGCTTGGTCTATCTGATGCAGGAGTTGCTGCAACAGGGAGTCAGAGAGGTGGGAGGGGCCAGATCATGGAAAAACTTGTTAAGAAGGTGGTGGGGGGGGAGGTTAGATTATATTCTACGTGAAAAGAAAAGCAATGCAGGGTTCTGAGAAAAGCACTTCTGTGCCCTTTAAAGGACCACTCTGGCTACTATGAGACTGAACCATAAAGAACTAGAGAGGAAGCAGAAAGATGGAGAGTTATTATGGCATCTAAGTAAGAAATACCAGTGGTTTGGAAGAGGGTAATAGCAGTGAGACGGACAAAAGCAGGTGGATTCAGGCTATATGTTGGTGGCAGAGCTAAAGAACTTGCTGATGAAAGGGGAGTGAGGAAAAGGGAGGGATCAGTGCGGAATTCTAGCTCTTAGGCTCGCAAGGCTGGACTGGAGGGGTGCGATGGTGAGACTCTGATCAGAAGACTGCAGAACAAGAGGTGGCCTGGTAGACACCCAATTGGGAAGTCAAGTAGGCAGCTGGGTGTATCTTTGGAGCTCAAAAGAGAAGTCAGGACAGGGGATATAAATCTGGGAGTCATTAACATACAGTTTGGGGGCACCTGGGTGGCTCAGTCGTTAAGCGTCTGCCTTCGGCTCAGGTCGTGGTCCCAGGGTCCTGGGATCGAGACCCGCATTGGGCTCCCTACCCAGCGGGAAGCCTGCTTCCCCCTCTCCCACTCCTGCTGCTTGTGTTCCCTCTCTCACTGTGTCTCTCTCTGTCAAATAAAATCTTAAAAAAAAAAAAAAACAACAAAAACCATACAGTTTGAATTTAAAGCCTTTGGACTAAAGTCACTTGAGGAGAGATTATACATTTATAAATAGAAAAAAAAGGGAAAGGTCTAGGATTGAGTCCAGAGGCACCTTGACTGAGAAGGAACGGTGAGTTGGGAGGAAAAAAGAGTATGGTACCCAACAGCCCAGAGAACAGAAGGCTGCAGAGGAGTCAGGTTGGCTTAGTCAGTGAAGCAAGCGACTCTTGATCTCGGGGCTGTGGGTTCAGGCCCCACATTGAGGGTAGAGCTTACTTTAAAAAAAGAAAGAGAACAGAAGGTTGCAAAAATGAGAGCTGTTAAAAGGTTAAGTAAGGTAAGAACAGAGAAGTCCATCAGGTGTGATCCCTCTGAGAGCAGCTGCAGGGGTTTGGTGGGGCTGAAGGCGCGAATCGGACTTACACTGAGAAAGCGTCTGAATAAGGCTTTTGGAAACTTTTGCTGTGAAGGGAAGCAAGGCAATGGGGTGGCAGCTAGAAGGGTTCATGGCATTTTTAAGACTGGAAATAATAAAGTGCAGTGTCAAAAAAAAAAGTGATTTTTAGGGTGGGAGACACTTTTATCTCCATTCTTAGACGAAAAAGTAAAGTTCAGAAAAGTAAAGTTCAGAAAACTGGCTTAATTTCCTGAAGGCCCCAGAGCTAGACAGGAACAGAGTCTGAATTCAAATTTAGGGCTGACTCCAGAGCTTCTGATCTGTCCACATCCCTCTATTACCTCTGATTTGTATGAGAATTAAGAACCAGATAAAATAACCTAGAGTAAACCCAAACCAGGCAATATTATTCCAAAACTAGTTCTATAAAACATAGCACACTGAAGCACCTGAATGAAACTGCAAAGTAGTTTTAGGGATAAGAAATCATAGTTTTCAAAAGAAAAAAAAATGAGATAAAATAAAAGTCATATTTTCTGGTGAAATTATATATATAAAAAATAGCACTAATATCTTCATATATTGATACACTGAGGAGGAGCAGGGTGAAACCCGCAGGCTATAACAGACAGCTTGGCTTTGCATGCTAGGAACTACTGAACTCTGTTTTATCACGATAGAATGATGCACACCAAATTCACTCCAGCATGTCTAAGACCAAAGAGAGTGGAAAGTTATATGCCTGAGGAGTGGCTGCTCCTATTACCTACCTTGCTTTTTTTGAAGTCAAAGCTTTATTTTCGTTCAGCTTTCTTCCGCCACTTTCTAAATCAAAACATACATGTATTTTAGCATGTTATTTCTGCACATTTCACTATAACATATACATTTAACAGTTAGTTAAAAAGTTCATTCTTTGGCCTCCTACCAGTAGACTAGTCTGGATCAAAATTTTCAAAAATCCCCAGTTAATACCCAGGTTTTTAAGACACTACTTAAAAAGGAAACATTTATTATGAAGCAATAAAATTGTGGATAATCATTTTACTTCTGACTCAAAAGAGGACTTTAGGGATGGGTCTACACTTAATTTATCTAGTGTAAAATCTTAAAGCCACTACTTCGGTGCCATAGACCCTGAATACAGTACAAGTGTTTCTTTTCCTTCCCTTTGGAAACACCTCAACTGTATATAATGATATAAGGTGAAAATGTAAATGTGTAAATGATTTGTTCAAGAATATAAAAGTCAGGTGAAGAGAGGGGGAATTAAATGCAGACTTTAATAAAGCGGAATCAAATCAGTTACTATCATCTACTCATTGGTTGAAAATCATTTAATGATTTTGCTATCTTTTGCCTGACAGATGAGGAACCCTTAACATGTAACCCAGAGAACTAAATAAAAGATATTAAATTGTTGGGGGATCTGGAATTCTTTAATAGTTAAGAGATGAAATACTTTGCACACAAAAGATTTCTTTTTACAAATGATGTAAAGCTAAAACATTCGTCACAGGAAGCATGGGATTCAACTTCTCTTTTCCAAATGGAAAAATACCTGTGGTATTCCTTGCACCATCTTTCCATGTGTCTGGAGTGATAACAGTACCAAGTTTCTTCTCACCTGTTGTAACGAGATAGTAAAAGTAAGGGGAATTTGGATTTAACTATCTAATAAATACACTACATGGAGCTTAAAATTCAGTGGTATCAACCACTGTCTTACAGTAGGAGCCTTTTCATGCCGGGGTAGGGACTGTGAAATGAGACTGAAGATACTAACTGTGGGCAATGGGTAACTGAGGAATTCCACGGAGAAAGAAATAATTAGCTGGGGAAATCCAGGAAAGCCTGTGGAGAAGGCAGGAAGAGGGGCTGGATCTGGCAGTGGGGTTGTGAAGAAAGAGGAGGAGAGATGATGAAGGCAAACTAGAGAAAGGATATATCCTGAAGAAAGGCATGGAAAGCTCAGGGTACACACAAAGTAGATTGGTTTGGCCAAAGAGTGAGGGTAAGAGTAGGTGAAAATAAAGTTGGAAAGATAAACTGGGCCCTCATTGTGGTGGGTCATCCTGAATGCCAGGTTCTAAATATAGAAACCCCAAATTATTTTTTGCACATTGAGAATTTATTAAAGGTTTTAAATCCAGGAAACGATAGAATGCACTTATATTTAGGTTCAATGCAAATATCTGTTGTGATTACTCTAAACCACGTCCTGGCATAATGATGAAGGATGGTAAGACAAAGTCTTTACCCTTTGGTTCTACTGTCTAGCACTTGGTAGGAATGTAATACTTGTTGCATGAATGAAAAGAAAAGGTGAGAAGATGCAAGAATGAAAGGTGGAGTCAGGGTCTAATTGAGCGTTTTTACATGGAAGGGGAGCTGATAAAGATTCCAAAGGATATAGAGACAAAGAGGTAGAGAGGGATGGCAACAAGGACATGAGTAGAATTTTCCTTGAAAAAAGGGAAAGAAGTAAATGAGCATGGATGCAGATCTGTTTATGGGTATGGCAAAAGAAATAAAAGAAGTTGAGAATGTTCCCATGTAATTACCTTGCTTTTCTTATACCTCTAAGGAGGTATTTGTCAACAGAGGATGAGGTAGGTGAAGGTGTGGACGTTTAAGGGACCAGAGAGCTTGGAATAGTCACTAGCGACGAAGGGCAAGGGGACTGACTAAAATTAAGTTAAAAAGACTGATGAATAGTATTAAAGATCTTGGAGATTAGGAATTGCACACTTTTAGTGGTACCAACTGGTTCATTTGTACAGTTTTCCCCAGTAGCCTTCACACGCATGCAGGACAGTTTAGGGAGAGAAGAGCCAAAGGCAGGGAGAACACAGTTTGAAGGGAAAGGGGCTGGTAGGGGATCACATTAGTCTAACTCGAGTGATGCGGACTTCAGCTAGGGTATTTGAGGGGTAAATGAGAGGCTAGGGAAAATAGGAGCTATTGAATGGAAGTAAAAACAGCAGGACATGCAAGTGTTTGGATGCAGGATCACAAAGGGATAGGGGAATGCATGACAGATGATTAAGGCTTTGTGAATGGGTGACTGGGAGGACTGCAATGCCATTAAGTGATGGAAGAGAAGGTACAGATTTGTGAAGTAGGATGACAAATTCAGTCTTGGAAGTACTACAGTACTATGTAACAACCAGATGGAGGTTCCCAGTATTGTCTGGAGAAAATTCTTCTATTGGTCTTAGTTTAGAGAGAAGTCAGCTGGAGATGTGGATTAGACATTCACTGGCATGGATATGCTACTTGAAGCCAGGTTATTTCCAAAACAGTCAAAAGAAGGTCAGATACAGATCACTGGGAAACATCTACTTTAAGGGAGAAGGAGAGTAAGAAAACTTGGAGACTATAATGGTAAAGAAGCACAGGGAGAAGTAAATTCAAAGAGAATCGAGACCAAGTTTCAAAGTCACAGAATAGAAAAGGACTGAAAGAAAGGTCTTTGAATTAAGAGTCTATTTTTATTTGAGGAATAAGATGCTATAGAAGGCAGAAAGGTATTAGAGCAAAGAAATAATACACAGACTTTCAGAAGTGCAGAGAAGTAAAAAGCAAATGACCTTTTAGGACACATATCACGTCCCAGAACCAACTATGTGTACTTATATTTTAATACCACATTAGATCTTGGGTTTTCAAAATTTTTATGTATCTTAGGAAGTTAACTCTCACAATGTGCCCAGTATCCTCAACTTCCCTGAGAAAAAGCACTTATGGTGTAAAGAACATCACACAAAACAAGTTAAACCAGGCAGAATACCAGTCGTCTGAAGTTAAAATATACAGCATTAACACAAATTACATAGAAGGCTAAATTTACATGTTTAGGAACTATACTACATAAGAGAGAAGACATCAAGGAAGGTGCATAACCTAAATATATGTAAGTCATATTTACTCAAAGAGGCAAAACCAAAAAACTTAAGTACTGGATGGAGTAGAGTTAAAGGACATCAATGTCAAAAAACTTAATGTGCTTTTTGGAGTGATGAAAATGTTCTAAAATTGATTGTGGTGATGGTTGCACAACCCTGTGAATATACTGAAAATAACAGAATGGTACATTTTAAATGGGTGACTTGTACCCATGTCAATTACATTGCAATAATTTTTTATTTTTTTTAAAGATTTTATTTATTTATACGAGAGAGAGAGAGAGAGAGGCAGAGGGAGAAGCAGGCTCCCAAGGAGCAGGGAGCCCGTTGCGGGACTCGATCCCAGGATCCTGGGATCATGACCTGAGCCGAAGGCAGACGCTTAACCATCTGAGCCACCCAGGTGCCCCATTGCAATAATTTTTTAAAAGCTTAAGGTGAGACGATGATATAAAGCATAGAAAAATGGAAATATTCGTTCCACTCTAACCCTCATAAAACGAGGCAGAGTTCAATTCTGAGTGCCACATATTGGGGGTTATGATAGAAATAACCAGTTTTAGAGTATACACTAAGGCACTTTTAAATCAGGCTTTACCTACACTATCTAATTCTCACAAAACCGGTAAGTTAACGTATTGTTCTCATTTTTCAGATGAGAAAACTGGGGCCAAGAAATATTCGATAATTTGCCCATAAGTTATTCTTTTACCTAATGTAAAAACTGTGATTCAAACTCATGGGTGCCCGTGTTCAAAGGTTTATCTACTGTGTGGGGGGGAGGTATAAACAAAATGGATTATGTTAATGTTAATCCAGATAAGAGGACTTGAAACCTTGTCTCAGAAGAGCCAGAAATGTCTAGCCTGAGGAAAAAGAGACTTAGGGATATGACAGCCGTTTTAAAGCAAATAGTCTGTGACATCAAAAAATCCTATTTTCTAGAAACCTCAAGAGTTTACATTAGAATCACTGATGGCAACAATAGGGAGGAAGGACTTTTCTAAAAGTGAGTGACATCGATACAGACTCTGAAGGTGGTGAGACTTTTTAAATCCTGCCTCAATACCACCATATTCATGCAAAGAGCATTTAAGCCATTGGATAGGCTGCTAACTTAGGGCTGCTGGTTAAAATATAGGATGCCCGGTTAAATTTAAATTTCAAACAATGAATGGCGTTTTACTACTGTCATGTCCTAAAAGTAAGTCCAATGCACTTTCAGTAGTAAAGAGCAGCAAGCAAAGACAAGTCTCAAATATTGCACGGGACCTACTTCTCCTAATAAAAAGTGTTCATTTTTTTTTTAATGTCTGCTAAATCTGGAAACTCTAGATATTGTATAAGTTACTTTTAAGATCCATTCCAACCCTGAGGGTCTGTGAGGCGAAGGAGCCAGTCAAGAGCTGTATGAGATCCCGGGTTGGGCATAGGGGAGGCAAAGGAAATAGACAAATGAGTGCAAAACTGAGACCACTCTGAATGCAAAACGACTATACGGTCGTGGGGGAGGGAAGGAATGGTCAAAGGGGTAGAAGGACAAAGGCTGGCATCGGAGACCTGTGACCGAAAGAAAAACAAAGAAAAGGCAAAGTACCCGAACAGCTCCAGTTAGCTTCTGCTAGCCTCCTTCTCCCAAAGATGTGGCCCCTTAACTCACATTTTTCGCACACCATCCTTCCCCTACGTTCCCTTGGCCGCAGAAACAGCAGCAGCTCCAAAATGTCAACACAACAGCCAGGAAAGGATTCCCCTTCCGGGTTACGACAACCCACTTCCGGCCCTTCCGCCCTCCGCCCCGCCCATCCCACACCTGAGAAGCCGCCGGAGGAATTAAACGCGAGCTGGAAGGCGGGGCTGCTCCCATTGCCCGCCTCTCCGCTTCTGCAATTGGCTGCGCGGTCTTGGGTCTCCCCCCCCCCACAGGCCTGCGCCTGCGCGATGGCCAGGGCGGCGAATCGTACCTGATGGTGGGAGGTAGTAACCCCCGCTTCTCTTCCGCTGGCGGGAGAGTTAGGTAAGCCCAGCCGAACCCTCCCGGCACGCGGGCCTCCCGGGGGTGCAAGCAGCCCCCACCAACTGCCCATATGACCGAGAGCGTCTGTGCCCCCAGCCCGCCCGCGTCCGCCGTCCGTCCGAGTGCCACCCTTCCGGCGTGACCCAGGGGCTGCCCTGATGGACCCGGCCCTCTTTCGGAGCAGTCTTTCTGTGCGGCCCTCCGTTTCTCCTGGTCTCCGCGCCCGTGCTCTTTGATTATGCCTCTCAGCGCGTCCCCCGCTGCTCACACTCGCCCTGGGTGAGGCTTGGGCAGAGTCCCGAGCGACCGAGTTTGGGGTGGGGCTGCCGAGACAGGTCCTGCGATTTGCGCGGAGGCTCCTGTGCGAGCCTCAGTGCCTGCGAACCCGGGCTTAGGTCAGACGGCGGACGCCAGGGCCTTGGCAGCCGGAGGGGCTCCCGAAGGGCGTCCTTGTGTGCTCGCCAGGGCCCACCCTCTTTCCTTCGTTCGTTCATTCATTCATTAAGCATTTGAGTTTGGGTACTGCTCACTGTATTAGATCCAAATCTGGTCATGTCACTTGGGATTCTGAGAGGGGCCCAGAAAAATAATCCGAAGAGGTGTCGGTTGAGACAGTGTATCCCGGATCCTCCGCCCCGCCCCTCCGTCCGCGGAGGATAGGACCTGCGAGAAACTTTTCGTTTCTCTCTTCTTGCAGTTTGTTCTTTTCTCAACTCCTGATGTGTATCTTTATATCAAAGAGGCGAGGCTTTGACGTGGCTTTCGTGCTTGGGAGCTTGGGACCTTGGACATGTCCCCATAACGTGTCTTTTTTTTTTTTTTT